GGAATACTACAATAATATTTTAAATTAATAGAGATCAATTAAAAAACTTGTTGCCATCCCAACTGACTGATTTTGTTAGAAATAACTTGTCAAGAATTTTAATAGCACAGCTTTAATTACAGAGTTTGGGTTTATAATGTTTATTTTATGTAACTTAAGTTAGAACATACCTATTTTTAAATTGCTTGTAATGCATATGAATGTAAAAAACAATGAAGTTCATTAGTTACATATGGTGACACTAACAATACATGATGAGAGCATATGTTTCAAAGTTTTGAAATACCTCTTATGAACCAAATATTTTAGGAAAGGAACTGTAAAGATTTCACTACCACACATGAAGACTACATTAGCTCCCCTGTTAATCAGAAGTCTTGCCACGTGTACTCATAATTACTCCCATATTTTTTTCTCTGTAAACGGAACAAGCAAATGTGGGTAGCTTCTGCAAAATTCAATTGGCATTAGTGTTGGAAAAGCTTTAGATCTACAACTGTATCTAATAAACCATACAGATTGCATTATCTTTGCATAGTTTATTCACACAATCATTTAGTATTTGTAACAGTGATAAACATTCCCATTTGCATCCCAGTCCTGTCGGTTTTTGTAAATCTCCCTAGTCTTTATGCACAAACAGTCCTTACTGGGCTCACAGTACTTCTATTTACATGCATTTATGAATTTGTCCCCAAGCCAGACTGTAACGCCCAGTTCTTTGTTTCCAGGCATTTAAACTTAACATTATTGGTATGTGCTAAGAAGAAAGATGACGCCATAGAGCCATACCTCAAATTCTTCAGAAAAACCATTACTTGCATGTAAATCTGCAACATGTTTTGGAAAATGCTTTATTGGAATTGCTCCAACATCATCTTAGGGGTGGGAAAAGACAAAAAATATATTTATGAAGAATAAAAAGCCAGTGACATATAAAGAAGTTTAAATGTAGGCAATCCACAAAACATCCTGAAATAAAATTTTTGGCATCAACTTTGGATCTACAACTCCCACAAAAATAAAAACATTCTTTAACACCATTAACATTTCTAAAATCATTCTCTAACAATTGCACATTTCTAAATGACTGTTCGGAAAGAAGATATAGAAAATGCCTTGCTAGGTCTTGCTTTGTCTTTAAGCACCCAATATTGAGGTGATGATTCTGCAAGATGCTGAGGTTGTCTGTAAATTGAAGAGCACTCAGAACTACCTTGAAGGCAAGGGGAAATGGGAGGATTAGCAGTTTGCTACAAGATGTTCAATGGGAGAGGGTAGGAGCAGAGCTCTGATAATACTGGTAAAGAAAGAATGATCAGGCAGAGGAGTCTGGGTGCTTTAGGCTGATTCGTGTTGCACTGGGGCCCTGATACAGTACATGAACTAGCTGCATAGTCCTCAGCCTACTAAATTAATACAGCATTATGCCAGTAGTATAATTTTAACTGATGTGTTGCATGTTTGCACTGGCATCCAAAGGAAACAACAACTACATCTTTTACTGCATGAGTGAGTACTTCCAGTAGGGATTTTTTCCCCCCTTCTCCCCAGGATTCTATGATTACCTATTGATTATAATCTTATGTCTGATCCTGGGAGTATTGACTGCAAATTTTCACATCAGGCTTTATATTTCAAGTTTTAAGTGAAAGATTTAAGTTTAAGACTTTCTGGATACCCACAAAGACAATATCTACATTCTCAACCAATAAATGTGATTCATGCAACTTCTGGGTCCTGATACTGAGTCTGAATTTTCCACCTGATGTTTGTATTTCAGGACATCTCTTTTTTACTTTATACAAATACAGAAAACTTGTTCTTGTGTAGAACATTTGTTAGAGATCATGTCAAAAAACCTTTGGGACTTTTAATCTTCTCTTTCCTGTAAATATGCTATGTAAACAAAGTCATCTGTTCTGTTAATTACCTGTTAAAGGATGACATTATTTCAGCTAGTTTTGGTTCTGGAGAATCATAACTTTTTTTTTAAAAGCCTTTCATGGATTAAAAATACATTTACTTCACAATTTGCAATTTTATCACTGTTGCATATGAGAAAGAGATATCAAAAACATTGAACGAGGACCTGTTATTTACATCAACAGATGTTCAGCATTTAGGCCACCTAATAATTTTAGCTTTCAGTTACGAAGAATTTGTTGATTTGTATTGAAATCCATCTGGTCTTCCACTTACATGAATGGATCTGAATACAAAAAGTGAATTTATCCAGTCAAGCCTAAGAGAAGCTGAACAAATGTGTAACATTATCTTCACACTTCAGAGAGAGGAAACCTGGCATAAAGTGTTTATTCTAATGATATGCAAACACAAAAACAGAAGGGAAGGTAGATGATCCTAAGAGCGAGGACAGTAAGGGAGAAAGCGATCTCAGGTTTGGTGTAATTACTGTTTTATTTCCTTGTCAGTGCTAATCTCCCAATTCAATCACTTCTGAATCCAGGAATATATTTTATATCTGGATGGCAGGTATCACTTGAAACTACTTAAAGGTTGATAGTACGTCCTAATATTACCCTGTAATTCATTATTTGTTCTGAATGCGTCTTTGAATAATGCTGTGAAGTGCCAGGGCATTTTCTGTGAATAACTGCAGTTCTCCTACCTCTGCCAGTGAAACCCCACAAAAGGGAAACTTAATATATAATGAGATCTGTGGAGTGTGCTTTTAGTCATAGTTACAATGAAAAATTAAACTTAGCAGTTACAAAATACTCTTCCTGCTCTATGCTCTTTGCCAGTATTATATCATGATTAGTCTCAATTGCTGTAAAATTACACTGCTGAAACATTTGTGCAATAGAAAACACAAAAAACTGCTCACTTGACATCTGTTGCACACAAAATAAACCAAAAATATTTCCTCAGTGCTTGCAGCTTTTTCCACAAAATATTATATGTATCTTTCAGTCACTTGGAAACACTTTTCTCTTTAAGTTAATATTTATCAGTATTTCTGAAGGAAAACCTCCAGCATCAAAACATGTATTTTAAGCACTCAGAATAACTGTAAGTGTAATTCTGTCTTATGACAATGGAAAACAGTATCTCCCTGAGGTAAGCTGGTCAGGAAAAATTGCAAGAAAATTATACAGTTGTACTGCAATATAGTTAATGATAGAGATTAAGAGCAGAGATTTCCTATAATGATTGCCACTTGACATTCATACATAATCACGTTTTCTGAAATCAAGCTATATCCCTGCCTATTAACCATTTAGAAAAAGGTTATGCATCTCCTAACAACAGCAATCAATACAAGAGGCATTTAAAGATGCCTACAATTCAAGTTACAACAGAAGTCTAATGTTTGGGATTTATTTAATTAAATGTGTTCACTAGTTATCTACACAAGGGCTGATTTTGCTTCTGTTAGTTATCCCCCCTGTGTAATAGCACAGTTTGAAAAAGCATTACTTGTGGAACAAGATATCCTTTTCTCACGTGTGAAAATGTGGCTCGGGATCTGCTGCAGAATTAATCTATTTAAGGTACTCTTCACTCTACTCAGATTGAAAAAGCTGGGAGGGCTGCACATGCTCCTCTGATAATCTTTGAGGAGGAAAGAAAAGAAACAGTTTCTCCAAATAATTGTGGTAGATATGGAATCAGAAGATGCTAATAATATTCTGAACTTCTGTACCATTTTTATGAGAGGCTCACAGAGAATTTTACCAGTAGTAAATATGCTAGTAAAATCTATCGGTTAAAGAAAACATTGTAATTGCAAATGAAATGCAGATAGATGAGGCATATATTCGTCCTGCTCCTAAAAAGAACAGGTCACGTTCTACACAAATGTGACAAATTCAATTAAAGAAAGAAATGCAGCAGACTATGTTGCTGGTGTAATCCTCTGTTTTGTGACAACGGACTAGAGCTACTTAGTGTAGCTCAGATGGCTACACTAGAAGCCATTTCTAGTGAGGCTACACCTCAAATGGCTAGAAGGCACAGCGTATATTTGAGACAACTCTGTAAGGTGAGGATACTTCTCTTCTGTGTTACCTACAGGAGAGAATATCAGTAACACTACTCTCTGTCTCTGTCAAGTGCACCTGGGTTTATCAGTACAAGAGAGTACAAATCTCTGGTTTACAGATGTTACAGTATGTGAACAATTCATATGGACACATACAAGGCAGCATCTTCCAGCAGCTAACACCAATCCACAGAACAGTTGACAAAAAATACCTGAGACTGGGAAGATTGGAGCTGGGGGAGCAGAAATCACTCGAGGTGATGTATTATCTTCTAAATAAAAGTGAGCTGTCTGGAAACATTTCCTAGAGGGGAAGAAACATAAATAAATATTGCAAAAATTAAAACATATCTGAGTCCTTTTTGAATTCTGGCATTACTGAGTAAGAAAGAAATCGTGGTTTTGAAAAACAGTTTTCATGGAATGTCAAATACTACTGCTATAATATAAATACTACCCCAACACACCACCCAATTATACATACAACTTGAAGATACTACATTAACTCAGCATAATACATAGTTCATGCATCTTTACCTATACCAGAGGCAGAAGACAGAGCACACACCAGACATAGTGAAAGCTGAAAGAGGAAGTCTGCATCAGGAGCTACTGCAGATGCTGCACAACAACGCCAAGTATAAAAAATGCCATTGTCTTCCTTGCTTATCCAAATTCGCACACAGAATTACTGTTCCCTTTCATGTGATTATGCTAGCCTGAAGATGGAGCAGTGTACGAGATCAGTTCTGGTAATTCATCGTTAGATCCTACTGCAGACATGGAAATGCAATAACAGGCAACATGCCCTGTAACAGACAAAACGGTGGCTCTGGAACTACTATGACTGGGGCTAAACAATCTTTTCACAATGTCATTGCAACACTGAGGGACACCTTAACCACGGAGGACTTCCCGAAGTTGGCAGACAGAAACAGGGGAATTTATAACTCCAGGAGATGCTAGCTTTGTTGCAAAAACACTGAAGGATGGACTCAACCTTAACTATGACCCACAATGTTATTTGTATCCGTGCTGTAATCCAGATGTGAAGATAATAAGAATAGCATCTGTTAAGAATCCGAGCTATTCAGGGGACTAAACAACCAACTGCTGCTGTAAGCATTGCAAAGCCTCCTTAATTAAAAAAATCTCCATATGATTAGACATGCTAATAACAATCTTTAGTCTGGGTCACTTAATCTATTTGAAATATTATTCACTAACCATTAAATTTAAAAAGAAATATATGCATCAGGAAAATACTAATCTCATTTTATATTTACAAGATTCTGCTTCTTCAAAGCTGTTGGCTGAAGCTATTATATGATCTGTTGCTATTTTGTGTAATCACTGGTGTTTCAAATTCTTCTGTTCTGTTCCTGTATCACTGAACAGATAAAACCCCTCACATAATTGTAATAGTCAAAAAGAAATTTTGAGGCTACTTTGAGAAACAGATAGGGAATATGGAGATATTGTAATTTTTTCCAGAACCATTCATGTAGATCATAAAGACTTTGGTAAGCTTATTTGAATTAAGTCTCTGGGAAACATGCCTATACTCTTGGAATGTGTTGGGAATTTTCTGTCTCTGTACAATGCACATTCTCTTAAAACACAAGGAAAAGTGGACAGCTACATCAAAGGGAAAATTGTGGCATGCAAAACAGTTCTGGTGATTCACATGACAATTAGATTTGGAGTCCAGCTAGAATCCTCTAAAAGCATATTTGTGATGATCATGGAGGAGCTTTGTCTTTGCATGACATATTTGGAGTAAGACTATACATTAGGTACTTAGTTTTACTTAGAAATGGCAATTTTGGATGCAGACCAAGAACACATTCAAGATGTGCTTGGGAACATCTTTCTAATTTTTACAGAGGCTCGAACATTAGCACCCCATAGAGCTAGTGGCTGCTGAGGTGAGAGAGGCTGTCTCAATGCTAGCCTAATACTCAAGAGTTAGTCTCAGGACTGTGTGCGAAACATCTGTGAGAGGTAGGCAAGGATCAAAGTACTTCAAATCACTAAACACTTTTGGAAAGCCTCGCCCTGCCTGCTGGACACAGAGAATGCTGATGTACTGTGTTTATTAAAACCAGCACCAACCAACTAAACATGCCAAGCAGCCTGACACTAAAGCTCTAAAACCAAAAACTGTCCTCCCCCTAATACCTACTGCTTATGAACAATGATTATACATCAAGCTTATGGATTAACATTACAGAGTTTTGTCACCTCCTTGAGAAAAAAGACTGAGCTAAAAAGAATTTTATTAGCATAATGGCTTTCACAACTAAAGCAGTACTTAAAACGTCCTCATAATACGCCAGACATTCACTATCCCTCACTGAGCCACTGTATCTTTAATCTTTAACAAGCTAATTGTGGCTGAAAATAAATTACACCCTTAGCACATTTGGGAGACAAATTCATAGCAGTTGACTTAACCTGTAATAAGACTCATAAATAGGCACTCCATCTGCTTCTGCATCAGCAGTGAAAGCCTTCATGACTAAACCTAATGTTAATAACCATGTCTCGTTAATTATCACTTGTTGTTAATGAAAAAAGTGATGACTATTTCAAACTTCCAGACAAAGGTCCCATCGCTCAATGTTAACCTGATTATTTAATTTACACCTTTCATCACAGCATTTAGATCTTCAACCTAAAACTGTAATTTGTAATTTAGACACCGCGCTTCTTCGAACACGCACTTTACATATGGAGATCGTGCTAAGCCATTGAATTAATTAGAGTGTCTGTATCTGTACAGGAAGCCACGCAGCGGCAGCTCTTCAGTTTAACAGGAGGAATACTAGATCTGAATGAACGCTTAAATGCGAACCACTAGGGACAAGACTATGCCTCCCCCTGCAGAGGACATCATTTTTGTGGCGTGCGGGCCTCTGGACCTGGCTGAGGATATGTGCTACCTACTTCTCCCCTGGGGTAGGGACTGCTTGACCAGGATTGTCACCGAGGCAGGCAACAAGCGTGGTGCTGCGTGTGCGTGTGAGCGTGTGCGTGCGCAGGGTGTTCACTGCTCGTGTCGGCTGAGGAAGGGAGCTGAACGTCAGAAGTCAGAGGCACCTGTGACAGGATGGGCTTGCACATCCTGTGCTTGCCCAGAATGGTCTCAGAGGCACAATTCTTTCTCTCAGAATTTCAGGATCTTCTGTGCTCACAGGGTATCTGCCAACAGGTATTCTGAAACACTTATTAGAATCTATTTTTAAATCGTTCCGACCATTTAAAGATCCAAATGGCTCCAAAGGATCTTTCAATGAATCCTCAATGGATCCAGTAATTCCAATTATTCAATTTTCAAATGGTTCCAATTAATTTTAAGTGCTTGTCAGCTGAAATTTTAATTTTCAAATGTTATTAACTCTTTTATTCATAATTTGATGTCACATAGTTGAAAAGTTTTTTCTTCATGGATGGATGAGCATGGCCTTTGTACATTTAAATCTGTTTTTTGTGTGTCTCTGCATATGTGACTTTAACTATCCTTAAAGAGGGTTCTCAACTCTGTTCTCATACACCTAACATAGGATTCAAGGCATCATTTCAAGTCATGGATAAGAAAATTAACATTCTTTGACAGCTATGTTTCAAAGATACAGGGTGCTAGAGGAAAGTTGAAATTTAAAGGGCTACTCAGGGTGTTGTCTGTTGTTGGGTTGGTCATTTCCGAAGCACTGCTGTCATGTAACTTCCAGGAGGCTTCATGACAGCCAGCTGATATTCAGTATGTCTGTAGATAGAAACGTAGCCGCAACTGCATTAGCAGTTTGCTGTTCACATGATTAGAGCTAGTCTCTTACTGAGATACACACATATTTGTTGAAAAAGAATCTTGAATGGTACAACTCCCAGTGACAACTGTTACCATTTTGCTATTTTTCAAGCTCTTATGATAACCATTACAAAAATTGATTTGCACAAATAGCCTGACATTTCTTCCTGTACATCATTTCATCAGGTTTGTTTTCATTCATCACTTCTATGAACTGTTCCAAAAGAGTACAAACATGCATAAGTAATTTCCAGTATATTATATGTCATCACAGAGAAACTTTTCCATTTCAGTCACCTTAACAGATAAGGTTAATTCAGCAAAATGGGAGTGATGAAGCCATCCAGAAATGAAAAGAACAGAGCAAGGGCATTCAAATATCCCTGCTGCATCTCTGCTGCAAGGACTCAGTCAAGTAGACAGATACTGAGAGAGACGGATAGACTCCAGATTTGGATAGAAATTCTCTCTAAATCTATAAAAACCCACTATCTGGACAACAAGGCCATTAAACAGGCAAAAAAATCTCCCTGATTATTCCACTGTATTCTTAATCATGCTGAAGAAATGAAAGGAAAATGACATTGCTTGAAAATTACAAAAGATTTGACACCCACAACTAGAGCAGTTCAAAATTGTGTATTTTCCTACTGGCAATTAGACAATCTTTAGACAATATTGCCATTAAAAGTTTTCATCCCTGTCAGAGAAATGAGTATTTTATCACAGAGAGATTGAAATCATGCCTAATGAGATAGTGAAGAGATTGGGGAATTTCCTCAAGTGCTGATTAACAATTTCATGTAAAAAAAAAAAAAAAAAAAAAACGACCAACCAAAACCCAAACAACAGATGGTACAGAATTATTTTTCTAATACAAGTCATTCAAGTGAAGAACAAAATAATTTTCCCTTTTTTTAACCTTGAGAAACTGGAACTTGTCGCTCTTGGTAGTTATTTGGTTTTTAAACCAAATAACACACCTTTTGCATATGAAACACACCTTTTGCATATGCAAATTAGGAGCTAATAGTGGAAACAACTCAAAGCACTATTCACTCAAATACCCAGCTAGGATAGACCAATGCAATTTTTTGACTACTGTTACCAAAGGAATATAAAATACCTTCTTGCAAACCTAAAATTTTTATGATCTTTAATAAGTGAAAAAAATTGGCCCACATAAAAAAAGCATTATAAAAAGAAACATTGACAGCTCACATCAATTATTTCAAAGTAAACTAAATCTAACCATAAAAATGCTTATAGACTTTATACTAATATCTTCCAGGCATTAAGAAAACTGCATAGCAATAAAATTAATGTTCTGATTTTTCTCAGGCTTTAAAAAGAGGTGAGGGTCTTGGCACCTTTGAAAGAGGGCCACAAAGTCCTACCTACAATACATACTGGTTATGTTTCATTCCTCTGAAACAAGAAACGTGTTACTGGTGTTATCATAATGCCAAGAAAATTTTCTTGAGGATTAACAAAAAAAGAGCTCCACATTTTATTTTGTAGTACACAAGAAATACAGGAAAGATTAAATTCAAGTTCAAGAAGATTTTACTGCTAATGGGATTTTTGTTTTATTTGAAAGACCTATGTTACAGAATTGTTCATTCCCAGAGAAAGAATACTAAATGAACACAATGTTATTCGGCAAAAACAAGCTTGTAACGTGTAGGATTACTAGAACAGCACTGTACAATCTGGGTCTTAAAATGGATGGTGTTCTTTGGTAAATAGAAGAGATTTCAAATACTACTTAGCTTCAGGGATGAAACCCTTTGGAAGATGAATATGAACGTTCATGTTGCATAACAGAAAGACAGGACAAGGTTCTCAAGGTTAGCTGGTTACCTCGTGATGGACAGTGTAATTATCCAACTAGACATGAACTAAGAAATGAGTTGTGCAATTCTTACGGCAATTAACTAGTTCTTTGGAAAGAAGAAATGTTCCTGAAAATTCATTGCTCAAAATTGTCTTTAATCATGCTGAAGGCTGTCTGACTTGCTAGCATGCTTGCCTGCAATAAAGGAAGCTCAAATTCAATTTCTCAAAACCTAGTGTCTTCAGCGACGGCATGTATTCTGTCCCCATGTGGGACATACCCTGCTAGGCTGATAGAAAAGCAATATCAGGAGACTAGAAGAAAAGTCAGTAAACACAACCCTGACATCACAGTCTAGAGATTAGAGTAGTCAGTAGCTTGGAAAGGGCAGTGTGGGGTCTAATTCCGGGTTCTTCGCCACTTTTAGACATTTTAGATTAAGCAGGATTGGGTAGGGGAAAAAAACCAAAGAAACAAGTTCTAGAAGCAACTGCGAGATGTTTGGGCCTGCCTTCCCCTTGTTCGTATAGCTCCTGGAAGAGCAAGGTCCTGTTTCTTGCTGCTGGTTTACGTGTTAGCACTGCAGAAGCAGTACAAGGATCAGGTTCCTGGCAATCACCAAACAGCAACAATTTCCATGGCAGGAGGTTTTTGCAACTTATTTCCCCATTCTGGACCACTGCGTTTCCTCCCCGGCAACCTGCACACTTGAGAGGTTGTTTGTGGATTTGTAAAGCCCTACGAGAGCTTAGGCAGATGTGTCCCTAGGAAAACTCTCTGGCTTTATCTAGAACCAACGAAAACAGAGCCAAAGGCTTGAGCACTGCCACACACTGTCACATGGCTAACTAGATTCCCAGTATGCTTTTAACTCAGGCCAACTTGCATCATTTCACACAACGCTTGACACAGTTTAGGGTTAGGACAGGGCAGAGACCATCCCGAGTAGGTGATGTGAACCTAGCCGCTCTGTTTTTTCCCCCTGTGAGGGGAAGAGACTTCAGCTGTACAGAAGAAATCTGTGCCACGCCAGCCGGTCTGTTTTATTTCACACTATAGAAATAGTCTTTTGCCCTCACTGACTATGTTATCATGACTCTTTATAGCTATCACTTCTCTTTAGCCTAATTTTTTTTCTTAATGTCTTATCAACTTAGCACGTCACAGAGAAACAGGCCACTGAGGGAACCTAGGCATGTGTGCACATGAAACGCATCTGTAGTTACCTGCTGACAGTTTGAAAGGCAGGGGGGCACATTTTGGTTTGGACATAGGCAGAATAACAAAGCAGAACCATGTTTTAATCACAGATTACCATAAGGCTACTCAGTAAGTGATCTTAAAACATTTATACTATCCCATTTCTGTTTTGCATACAATGTCAGCTACAGCACGCTCCTATAGTCCTATATGGATTGCTTATTCACATAGTCCTGTTGAGGACCATAGATTCTCATCCTAAATTGACAACTACCTCTTTTAACTGTTAAAGGATTAGAAAGATAGGAAACAAACCCATGCGATGCTGTTTATTTTTCTTTTCCCTCCTGTTCTTCCCAGTGCTCTGTTAAGTCACGTGGCTTCTAGGCATTAATAATCACAAGTAAGTTTACTAAAATCTCTCAAAATGGAAATAAACTATTTGCAATGGTTCAACCCTCTGCAACCAAAAAGAATTGTAGTTGAGCATTTTGGACAGAAACACCTTATTTTGTCAGCTTTACATCACTGCAGCACTGGGAGCAATACAAAGACATGGTGAGAGACAACATCCAGTCTCCCTCCTGCAAACCAGCTCAATAATGTCAATCACATTTTTCAAATCAGAGCTCTTTAGAACTGAAAAAAAAAAAACCAAACCAATCAACCAACCAAAAAACAACTTACCTCCAGTATATGAGAATACCCACAAGAATCACTAGACAGATAAAAGTCAGGGCTGATACGACCACAAGTGGTATAACTGTCTTCTTCTCTGATTCCAGACTCTCAGCTAGACCGATACGAGACTCATGGCTACTATTACTTGCCTCTGCAGTCAGAGAAAATTGAAACAGTCCATGTTTAAATTCTGACAAATGCACAGCATGAGTGAATGTGTCTTATAATGAGCCTACTTAATACCACTTACCTCTATTTTTTAATATGTACTGCAGAAAGTATATACATTTGCAAACCAGCTTACGGAAAACAAGCAGATAGAGGGTAAAGCAAAGTGTTCAAGCTTATGTGACTCAGCCTTCCAGCAGTGGAGCCTTCTCTTTGTAAGAATAGCAGATTGTTAAAATGTAGGAGAAGAAAGTTTTTTATTTTCATCTGTTTATTAGCTGAAAGCCAACTGAGTTAAAGAATCTGAATATATAATATTAGAATGTGTAAAGAACATTTTGATATTACACTGTCACTCATACAATGCAAATCACTGCTCTGGCTAATAATTTAACAGGACAATTTTCTTAAAATAGTCACTGTGTGCTTGCTATATTGCAGTTAAGCCTTCTGTATTTTAATACATTGCCCATTCTGTAACTCGCCTTGTAGATACATCCTGCTTTCTTTGAATCCAATTACAGTACTTACTCCCCCAATTATACTGGAGCCAGAATTGAATTTCCTACCTCCATCTTTACAGGTGATCAAATTATTATTTAGATATTGTCTAGATTTCACATTTTTGTCAGCCTTGTAATGCTGGGTGACAGAAGTATTTGGGCATAGGAATCTGTATGAAGATTAATATATTTTAGAATCTCATTAAATAAGGGAACACAATGGTGGACGAGACCAATCCTGCATTTTTAACTTTGGTCATACCTGAAGAAGTAAACACACTAAAACTGTGACTTTGACACAAAATGACTGATCTTTTTCAATCTGTGCAGTTTACTGTGATCTGTGACCATTATATGAGTTAAAACACAGAAATAAGCACTTTTGCACCGTTAGAATTAAATCCCTAGATTTTCTAAGAATGTTTTCTGCTTTTGTGAACAGTCCTAATTCAATTAATATTCTGTATGGGAGCAGAATTTTGCTGTCTAGAAATCAGCTGCACTCCATTGGGATTCCAAGAGACCAATTCTACATGAATGAAAAGCTTTCAGACAAAAGGGAGGAGGGAATGGAGTTGGATCTGAAAAAAAAATGACAACAAATCACATGTTCTAAACAGGATGTCAAAAAACAAACAGCTTCACAGAGTACAGATTTCCAGGCAGCTCTCTGCTTGCTTCCATTTTCTTGAGTTTAGGGGCTTTCAGGGCTTTATATGCAAAAAGGTCTAGGCTCTGATCTTGCAGACATCTTCTTGGTTTTAGTTCAAGATACTCTAACACCCAAATCAATCACTACTCTTTAAATCCTGTAGCTCTGCAGGAAAAGTGATTGCAGGAACACGTTGCTTCTGAAAAAATCTGTCCCCAAGTTTCTGGTGAGTAGGCTAAAATCAGTATCTCCTATTGATTTCAGAAGAAACTATGTGTATGCATGAGAGATCAGAATACGATCCCTTTGAAGCATTCATGCTTGCTCATGCTTGCAACTCTGAATTAAGCAAAGATGTCTTTGATTTACAGGAGACCATGTTAGACATGCTCACATTGAATTTTCAGTTTATTAAAAGACAGTATTTGGCATCATTTATTGGAAAAATAATGTACATGAAATGATACTGTATAGTGTCTTTCAATAATATCTAGAAGACAAACTCTAAGTCTGTTGTACTCCTCCTCCTCCTCCTCCAGTAACGTATAATCCTTTTTGAGTTACTATCAGTAACAATTCAAATGACACCCATTAGGTAAACTATAAATCTCTTACGGTAACACTTATTCACATTAGTAACATAAGTTTTGAAATATTGACTTTCTTTTTGATGATTTTTAAAGAAATGTTATGCATTTTACACAATGTGGTTACTGTTTACCTACTGAACTAATTCACTTACTGATTCAGTTTTAGAATGCCTACCTTGTTAGGACTCCTATTAATTTCAGTATGTTTTCTATTTTATTTTCATTTTTATTTTCTATTTTTCACATTCTACTAGCTCCAGCTACACAGAGTGTCAACTTGCCACCTTTTTGTATTAGTATTCTGTTGCTCATGAGTAATACGACCTCATGTGATTTAACTGTATATTTGTAGGACTGGGCCGAAAATTTCCCATGCTTTGTGGACTCCATTCCTTAGCACGTTTAGTTGAATGATACTGCCCTCTACAGATGCTGTGAGTACTTAATGCAAGTTGAATTTATTTTCTAAAATACCAATTTAACCTTGTTTGTTGGGGTTTTTTTTCAAACATTATAGATTGTTTCTGACTCTACTCTTGGATTTTCAGTACTCTAACAAGAGGCAATGCAAATTATACCTGAATAGTTCAGGTTTTCCACAATGCATTTTTAAATACAAAGGAAATGCTTTATATTTATCAAATTTTTATCTGTGTGAGGTTCAGTTTTGCCTTCTGACCTTATCCTTGGAATCACAGACCACAAATACTCTCACTGACTTTAAGAGGACTAAATAGGAAAATAGCACTAAATATAAAGAGGTACAGGAGAATGTGGCTCTAAGTATTTTGGAAATATGCAAATCCGGCACAAAAAGTCTGCATCTCACTGAAATCTGAAGGTGGCATACAGAGTAAGAATGAAAATGAATGTTTTTATGAGTTAAGATGAATCAGAATCAAACTGAAGCATCTTATTCCTTGCTCAATACATCTTAGAAAATACAAAACAAAACACAAGGAGGAAACGTGCTGCTGTAAGTTAAAAACCAGAATCTCAGAGGTATGTTTCCTCTGGCAGAGGCATGGTTTCCTCTAGTGTATTTCCATAAGGGCAGCACATGTCTTTGTACAGAGAACTTACGTCCCTCTTAAACCTTTAAAACTAAAATTAAACAATTAACACTGAAACAAATTCTGGTTTTAGATTGTGCACCACCCAACTTCTGCTGACAGTATGCATCTATCCAAAAGCAGAGCATGAATCTTCTTACTGAAGACTATTTCAGGTGCAGTTTTAAGTAGCCAGAAGTAGCATTCACAAGATAGACAGCTCAGCATGCACCCCCTGTTCCCCAATGCTTCCTTCATCACACCCACTGGCACTGTTATGTTCTCCTTTTATTATACGTAGATAAACCTTCTCATTCGCTATGGCACAAAAGTATCCCCTCACAGCTTTCCATGGCATTCATTAGACTTATCCGTAACTAACCTGCCTCAGAGATGTTGAATACTGATGAGTGATCGCTAGTAATAGATGAGGCTGATGACTGTGATGATCCAGGAGTTAATTCTGCGTTACCTGCTTCAACTGCCCCTTCAGTGTCTTTCTCATTAAGGTCAGGAAAACTGAAATCTGTCGAAGTCTCATTATCATTAAGGCTATCTGAAGTACCTTGGCCAGAACCACTTTCTTCATCACTTGTAAAAACAGCCCAAGACTTAGACTCTGATGTGTTCTGCAATGGGACACTAGCAGTCTGAATGTGGTTCTCCAAAAACGTCGGGTCGTTGTGCTTCTTGGGTATCACACTCGCTGTCAAAGTCGGTACGGATGTGTAATTACGTCTGTCCATGGCGTGGTTTATCTGACTGTCTGATGCAGCAGTCGAAATTTCCTCCTCTTCTTCAGGTTTCTCAGAATGTGAGCTTATAATTAGGTTACTCTGATCCTTGTTATTGTTTACCTTTGTATTTTGCTCCTCTACTACCATATCCTGAGCTTCTCTATGGGAAGTGCATGAGATACAGTTACTTACAGGGAAGCCGTCGTCATATTCATCGTAGTCATCCTCAACTACAGAAGGCCACAAATCAGTACTGGACATGATACTGGGAGACAACCCAGAGGATTCTCTAGAAGGAACCAGCAACCTACTCAAAGTTACAGGGATCTCACTTTTGGGAGGAACAGCCGTAACAGAAATATGTACATTTGGTAAAGGAAGAGTGTCATCAGTGGACACGTCAGAATCAGAAACAACTGCAGGCATATGAACAGGATCAAAACCAAGTGCAGAACTTGAGGAGACACTGGCAGCCTCACTTCTTTCAAAAACACTTGAAGAGATACGGCTGTCTGCGGGAGTAGCTACATGTGGTAATGTATCATCTGTTAGGAAGGGAGTTGTTACGGCATTCGCTGCTTGGGGGGGAAAGGCATTTGTATTTTCTAAACTGGTCAGCTGGACTGAAACATCGCTACTGTACAATGAAGGCATAACCTGCTGCACATCTTCACTGTTAAACAAACTGGATGAAACAAATTGCTCGCTTGCATAAGAAACAGATAAACCTTGAAGTGACGCTGTGGGCTTACTAAAAGCGTCTGACAACATATCAGCAACAGAAGGTGCAGATGTAGAATGCAGCACGGTTTCAGTTGTAGCAGAACCTGGTGCCATTTGATGCAATATTTGGTCAAATGTAGAACTATCTTTATGAACCCTGGAACTTTCAGCCAATATTGGATCACTAGGCACAACTGCAGCCGTGCTAAGCAGAGTGCCATCACCAGAAGACTGGAAGGAGGATTGCAGTAATGCTTCATTATTTAATGTAGCTGAGGTCTCGTAATAGTACAGCTGAGTCGAGGATAACATTTTGCTATAAGCAGGGGCAGAGAGAGCTTGATCTGAGCTTGCACTAAGCATAGGTTTAAGCAAAGTGTCATCAAAGGCTGGAGTTGTAACATGCAAAGGCTGATCGGAAAGGTGATTTTCTGTGAGTTTACTAATATCATGATCATATACCTTAGTAGTGGGAAAAGCAAGATAGACTGGAAGGATTCCCTTTGTGCTAGAAACAGGAAGTGGGCTTTCTTGCAGAGACGTAGTCTGCTTAATTACATCATTATTAGAAACAGGTGTAGAAAGTTCAGGTATCACTTTACTTTCAGCATTGGAAGCCATTTCACTTAAAGAAGAAGAAATTTGCAGTTCTTTCTCATCTCCATCTATAACATCACCTTTTTGAAGCATCTTATTAACATCACTAAACCCAGATGATTCATACGTAATTTCATCTACAGAATCAGAGGAAGAAACGTTAAGTACCGTCAAAGTATCTGTATCAGGCAAAAGGGACTCGCTACCAGAGTATGCTTCAGACCAATCCATGTCACTAGACAGAGAGCGCGTAGGCTGCAGCAAAGTATCAGCTTGTGATATTACAGAAGAAGGTTTATGCACCAGTACATTGTTATAGCTGCTAAATAAAGGATCTTGACGAAATATGTCAACAGAATCATGCACAAATTCTGCGGAGTCATAGGAAACAGTAAAGCTTTGGAGGGAGCCCACATTACTAGACAAAGCATAAGGAAGTTCAGACATTGTAGATAGTACATGCATATTTAAATCACTGCTGGATGGTTCAACTTGAGAAAATATGTGAGTTCTATTATGACCAAATATCAGTGTCTCTGAAGCAGCATGAGTAGTCTGATGTGACACCACATCAGCATATTGAGCAAGGCTTGGCTGTATTAATGTATCACCCTCTGCCAATGTCAAAGAAGCATGCAGGGACACCTTATCACTTGCAACAGCTGGAGTAGCACTTTGTGGAAACATTTGAGAAACTGTATACAAACGGTGAAACATTTTACTACTGGAAGAAGCAGAGGAAAATGTAAGCAAAGGTACATCATCATAGGAAGACAGGGTGGGTTCAAATGACACATCAACACTGGGAAATACAGGCGTAGCATGCAAGGTGACATCACTATCTGATGTAGCAGGGGTAGTGTCGAGCATCTGAGAGTCAAACAATAAAGGGGTGACTAGAGGAAACACTTCACTACTGTAGGAAGGTTGAAGAGGTATCTCACCATTATAGACTGGTTGAGTTGTCTGAGAGAGTACCTCACTGGCAGCAGAAGCAGAACCATATTCTCCAGAGCTTGAAGAGATAGAGTGAGGTGATAATTCAGCAGAGGAGAAAGCAAAGGTAGAATAATGTGGCAATTCTAAATCCGCATCTGAAGTGTCTTGTGAAACCACTGGGCTGCTGGAATAGGGCACTGTAGCTGGCTTTAATCCCTCTACATAAGCATCAGTGTAACTGGTCTGAGACAATTGCCTGCTATCCGATGTATCAACAGCTTGAGTTGTCAGATCAGTAGCATTACGAAACCATAAATTTCCATCAGTGGAAGAAGGATGCTTTGGAGGCTCATCAGAGCTTGAGGGTGCTACACCTTCTGACACATACTTAATGGAGCCTTGGGAAAGAACATCATGCATGCTTATATCTGGGCTTCCTGAAGGAAGGGTGTCTTCTTGGGAGGTCTCCTCTGTAACCAGCTGTGCTGAAGAAGTGGTAAGAACCGAACTCCAAAAGTCATCAGATTCCTGATGAGGTTTAAAAGGAGACAATAAGAAATCTTCGTCACTATGGCCAGTAGTGGTTATTCTTGTTGGTTCAGTGCCTGAAGAAAGGTATATGTACTCTTCTTCTATGCCTTTGGTGGACTCAATGAGTTGAGGAGGAATTCCAGTAATTGTTCGTGATTCCAAAAAAGGATCTTCCTCTTCTTCAGAAATTTCACTAACAGGTGGAGAAGTAGGGTAATAAACTGCTTTGAAAACATCATCCTTACCATGCAATTCTTCTTCTCTTGTTAAGTATCTATTTGTTTTAGCTTCATTGGGTTTTGTCCCCATTTTTTCTTGACTGTAGCTGGATGTAGTCACCTGGAAATCTTTCCTCATTTGGTTTATTGTACTGTCAGTGCTAGGAATCGCTGCAGTTTCTTCATCCACCTCTGTTTCCTTTTCATCAACTTCATCCTTTGAAAAAATATCATAGTCGAAGACAATTAAAAATGTTTCTAGACACTGTACACAAACGAAAACCAAAACTGCAAAAATACATCTTCCTGGCTCCATAAAAATGAGAGGCAAAACAAGACAACACTTGAGAAGACTGTTAGTCTTAAAGCAAAATATCCTCTTCTCTCTTGGAAATATTACTTATTTGCAATACAAACAAAAAAATCCTGTGTCACAACAACTTCTTAAATATTGTTACTTTTACTGTTTGAGAGACAAAAACCACTCACAGTATTTAATTACTTTATTAAAAAAGCTCTACCTCTTTCCTAATAAATGCATTTGTATACACAGTACACATCAATGAAAAAATGGTTTTGTTATCAGAATCTCTTAGAGATTTGCACTAATATCCTAATGTTGATTAAATTGTCATAGTAACAGAATTTGTAAAATATATTTATGACCTGTCCTTAAATCTGCAGAATCTTCAGAGTTTTCCGGAAAAGATTTCAGGATGGTCAGCATGACTGTAACAGTTTCACAAGTGTTGTGAGTGATACTACCTAGTCCCTGTTATGACCCTTTGTTTGCTGAACATGAATAATGATACTTTGTGAAAAACCTGTATTAGAGTTTTGTCTTTTAAGGACAGATCCAAAAAGACAAAAAAAAAAAAATTACGTGCCTAAATACCATCAGGATTTAGGCAGTCCTTGAGGATCTAAGTTAAAATCTTTTTGTCCCCTCTCCAACTTTCCCTGCCCCAAATCAAAAAACGTAATGTGGAAGCACCTAAGTTGCTCAGCAGGTGTTTTCGTTTTGACCTAGACACAGCAGCACCCACAGCTCTGTGCTGTGCCCCCATCTAGAAACTGCACCTGAACCAAACCTGTCTGAGCACAACTCTGCAAACTAGAATGAGGGGCACGTTCAGTTGCTGAAGGGACTTGACTGGATAGGCACACATAGCCCTAAGAGACACCAGCAGGACAGAGCGTCTTGCAAAATACAGTTGCAACTCCTTTTTCTTCTGAAGATCTGGCTTGGTGATGTGGTGGCAATACCCACCTGTTTTTATTCAAAAGCATAATGTTGAGAGAAGACACCAAGAGATAGGAGACTGGGACACAGTTATCAGTCTAAGAAATTCTCAGTTTCCACTGTATTTTAGGCTGAGTAGATCTCCTGCACTGAAGTGAACAGGGCACAGCAGAGAGAAGAATGTAAAATCAGCAGCCTTTGATTAAAGTGCCCAAGACGAAGCACTGCTGAATAAACTATTAACTGGGGCACTCAGCTAATAGAAGTTATTAGCTTTTATCCAGTCTCACCAGAGTGAGGGCTTTAACCACTAGACTAGAGCTGTGCTTCACACCACAGTCCCTTTTTTGTTCCAGGACCTCTAGTGCACTCACATGATATAAGGTACCTCAGGCATGACTCTCAGGTTTGGATTTCATTCCAAGGGCTAAGTACCTAAAATGTAGGGACAACAGCACCTAGACTGTGCTGGATGGGCCCTTGTTTCTGAAAATCTACTTTCTGCAGGGCAATGCCTGCACTTTTAGACTTTCTTGGTTCAAGTAAAAATCAATTGACATTCACTGGCACTCGGTTACTGTCCTGACAGATGCAATCTAATAATGAGGATACATAGCTTACATCAACAGAGAAATAACTGTACTATTGGTTACCCAGCATCCACAAATACAAGGAAGGGTAAATAGATAGATAGGTAAGCACAGGCTGTCTATTTAACTAACAAGGACTTGCCACTCAGTGACAGTATTGTGGTGGTAGACTGAAACTACAAAATAAAAACTCTGAGGGATTATTTGATATAAATGCAGGTCTTATTAAAGGAACTGTCCATGTTGTAAAATTGGTATTAGAGACCGTTAAAAATGTCACTGTGGCATTTTCACCTCTCTCCCTGCCGGGACACCAGAAACCTAGTTACCAAATATGAAGTCTGCAGAGGTCATCATAAAAACATCCAAAACTGTATAAAATAGAGCTATACTGTAAAGTCTAATAGAGCTATACTGTAAAGTCTAACTTGAGTTCAAGAAGTAAGAGTAAATGGCCCTCCCCAAATTCTGGAATAACTTAAATTCAACCAATAGCACACTGATAGCAGACACACATGAATCTCACTCTTCAGCACAACTGCCTTTCTCCCTCACTTTAGTTTACTACATGCTAGGACTGTCATAAGCAAGCCTAAGTCAAATTTCTCTTTAAACAAACTAAAAAGCCTAACACTGGGTGACAGCTTTGATTCTGCTAAATGAACAATTTTGTCAGACTTCACTCAGAGGTGACAGTAACTTGATGCCCCATTTCCAAAAATATTTAGGCATTTCCTGTGATATCCCTTACTTCTCCATGTACCTCTAGCCCCTGAGAACTAAATAGTGAGGCATCTCTAGAGTTATCTAGGGAGAAATACAGCTGAAAGAGAAGGCTGTGTATGCATATATATGTAAGTACACATAAATGCAGATAAGACATTCAGTTGGTGACATAGTTTTGTAAATTTTCAGAGAATATCAATTCACTTTAGTTGAAATGTATGTATTCGAAATACTCTTTTAAAAATAAGTGAATGCTATACCTCATATTCTTCAGTTTCATTCAGTTCAGGAATGAGGTCAGCCTCTATAAAACAAAAATACACACCATATCATCCAACATTTTAAATTCACAGAATTATTAGTTCTGCAAGGACTCAACTGATTAGTTAATATGTTTATTGAGACCTAATATGTTTTATAGGATTGTGTTTGGAGAAGCGGCCAACCACCTGGGTTGAGGACTAGCTCTAAGGGTAGCAATGCTCATCTAGACAGGACATGTTCAGCCACAACAGTTTTGCCTGGCTCTCATTTGATACTGCAGCACACGTTGGATCTGTACTGAGGAACCACATCGCAGCCAGGGAGAACCAAGTGTACGAGAACATTTTCTATGAGAAAGTACAGTTTAATGCAGAAGTTCAGAAGAGAGAGAAAAAGGTAAGTCTGGGAATCAACTCTTTCTCTACATTTAATCTGAAAGCTCTGAAGTTATTCTTGTAAAATGATCTGTTCTATAATTTTCATACAGCAAATTCCTCATTCGTGCACCCAGGCTTGGAGTTAGGTACTAGTGCAACAGCCATGCCATCATATTCAGCATGTAGTAGGCTGCCTGCCTCCATCAGGGCACACCAAAGACACCCACCTTTCCTAGAGTCCAGTGCTTAAGACCTTTTTCAAACTCCCACTCCACTTGATTTAATGTAAGGACATGAACCCAGTTGTACCACATCCCACAGAAAGTCCAGAATAAACAGGTACTGGGTGCTCTGAAGTAGTGAAGAATTACTCTAAAGGCTTTTGAGGCCTCCCCACTTTTCACAGATAAGTAACAGCTGAAGCAGGATCAAGAAATGAATCTCCTACAGCCCAGGTGAAAATCCTCTCTAAGTTTAGAGGTAGTCTCTCACCTTTCTCTCTGCCTTTTTGGCCAAATCCAATATTGTACTTCTGATGGTGGTCAGCAAGAAAGGCTTCAAAGCAGGTTGCAAGAAACCTACAAGTCTCTGGTAGGAACTGGCATAGGTCTCCAGTGATGAAATCTAATACCCCTGCCACAGCATTAACTCATCTTACTGCTCCTTTGGTCCACAGAAAGGTCCATTCCCTTTCTGAATCTTTCTGAGGCTTTCTCCTAAGCAATGTTCTAGTGCTCCATCTGTACACCAGTGCCAGCACGTATTCTGAGGGCTTATTGGCACTAAGCGAAAATGCCGGTCTCTGAGCTTGGGGAGCGATTTTAACAATAGCATCACACAGAGCTCCATGTTTGCATTTCCTCTGCAATTCCCAAATGAAGTTTCCTCAACACACTAGCATAAAGATGTCATCTTTATACTTCTCATTTCTGCAAAGACAGATGGGGATCTATGACTTAATTTGTATTCTCTTTGGTCTGTCTGTATCTGCCTTTCAAAACAAATTGAGACGTATTATACGCAACATACACTAGATAAAGTTTATCAAACTAACAAGCTCATACAGTTTTATTCATAGATTACAGCATGCAAACAGATTTTGACTAAACAATGCTGCACAAAATCTTCACAAATTGTTCTTTTGTAACAAACTTTTATAAATTACCAAGTACTGAATTAACCTTTCATTAACCCGATAGAGAAAAATTATCTTACCTCTGAGTCCTGGAAGCCTAGGAGGCTCTGGGGCAGGGTGGGGAGGGGAGCAGAGGGGTGGAAGGGGTGGAGGACATAATGATATTCCCTGGCTTCTCAATGATATAAATCAAATATTGTAGACATTAGTGCTGATGGTGCTAGAGTATACAGTAGGGTATGTGCTCTCAAATTCCACCAGCAGAAAACTACAGTTTCTTGCTGTCATCTCCATGGAGAGGCGTTAACATACATATATATATATATAA